AGGCTGGCAGAGGCCTCGGGGACCAGCGTCTCCCCCACCTGTGCTCCAGGTGCAGCAGGCAGCCCACAGCAGCAACCTCCTCCCAGAGTACAGGCAGGGGGAGGGCATGGGCCCCTGGAGCCTCTGGAGCACAGATGGGGGGCAGGGGCCCCCAGGGCCTCTGCCAGGCTGCACCCATTGGAGGGGGCCCCCCTCACATGAGCCCCTGGACCATGGAGAGTCCCAGACCCAGCGAGGCCGGGGCCCAACACCACATTCGTCTGGCCACTAGGTGGGCATGGCTCAATGTAGCCATGGCACAGAATTAGACCCGGTCCAGCCAGGTCTGGGACAATCCATGGTCCAGGGGGCGTGGGATGGGGAACAGGGCAGGGGGCAGGCAGGTCAGGGAAGGGTGCAGTATATCCTGGGGTGCCCTTTACTTCTAAAAAGTGATCTTTACCATAAAAAGGTTGGAGACCACTGTCTTAGTATAATCAGACCCTAAAGGATAATTTCTATTTTTATAACCTGATGCTTAATTGCACCCAATGAAGTATATATATTTCAAACTTCATTGTGCTAGAATCAAAGCAGAACACTAAGCAGCCTTCTACAAATCTTGTTTTCAGTAAAATTAGGAATGTAGTAAGAAACTTAGGAAATCTCATATTGCAAAATGTTAATTCCAGGCTAAATCTAATACCCACTTTTAATCTAATACTTCTCTCATGGAAGGGACAGAAACAGCATTAAAGTTAAAAAAAGAAAAGCATTTAATCTGTTACAGCAAATATAAGTTAGCTGCAGGAATGGAACTGCTAGTGCAAGGCTTGGCCTTCTAGTATTGCATCTGCCATTCACTCTAAAGCAGGCCCTGCTAAAGAGAATTGAAAGTAGCTCTCTGATTCCACGCCAGCCAGGCCAGGCTTAAAGTAATGGCAGGACAGATCTTGCTGTATTTTAAGCAGTAGCTATAAGGCCCGCTATTATGTTGGTGAAGAAACAGACATGACAGAAACCAGCCCACTACATCCTTAAGCAAATCCTGACACACACTCCTTTTCCTTAAAAAGGCTATGTCAAAAATGACTAGTTTAGATGGTAACTATGTAACCATTACCAGTTCTATGGCAACAGAGATTCCTTCACCACAGTGAGAGTCTCTTCTGGATATATCTGGCTGATTTAAGGCCATTTTGCACTGGATGTCAACTTACACAGTGTGAAATGACTTTTAGCAGACTGGAGAATCCAATGCTCTATCCATGGCAAAATAAAAATAAAAGGGAAAATTATTTTATCACAAATAACTTACAGTACCCCTTAAACTTCCAGTTCACATTCTTTCCCCATAATGGAATTTTTATGCCAAGATTAGGAATAGCATACAAAATTGGGATAATTATTAGCACTGCACAGCTTCAGTAGCTGACTCGATTCAGAGGAGATTCGGCCCCATTCGGGGACCGAATCTCTGAATCCAAATTAAATCAGGAGATAAAATAAAAGCTCCAAAATTGATTCAAAGCATCCAAATTGATTCAGAAACGATTCAGCCAATTTGGAGATTTGGCCATAAACTAAACAGGCAGCTGACAGCTGCCTCCAGCTGGTAAGTCTGTTGGGGTTGGGGGAGGGGGGGAGGAAAGGGGAGTAGGGGAGAGAGAGATTGGGGCTGAGGCTGGGACTCAGACAAGCTGCCCAGCCAGGGTGGGGGCACACGTTACTCAGGAGAACCTGCAGCTACCCAGCTGTGCCTGCCTCTCCCCAGCCAATCCAAATCACCAAATCTCTCCAAATCAGCACCAAATCTCTCCAAATCAGCACTGAATTTTCCAAAGCCAATTTGGCTGAAACTATTCAGGACAGTGATCTAAATCTCCGAATCAAATCAATGTCCTCCAAATTGGCCGAATCTGAATTTGAATCTAATACTTCCCTATTCGAACAGACCTAATAATTATAGTACATTAAGTTGACTCCTATGAAATTAAACTTAGTCTAAAAGACACTTTGAAACAAGAATCATCACTGCCATGGCCATTCAGAAGAGATGCTAATAATTTTGCCTTTAACTTCATGGCTAGGGACAGACTTTACACAAACCAGTTTAAGTGATCAGAAACTGGTTTAAACCTGTAACATAATATAAGTTCAATGCACATAAACCAGTTTAAAAAACTAGCTTCAGCCATTGAGATAAACCTGGTTGAATGTAGTATCAGACTTAAGTGATTTGGGTCAAATCTGTTTATGCACTGTCTATCCCAGACCTCTTCCTGGTTTAAGTTAAGCCAGAGTCCCCCAGCATCCCAGACTTTGCAGCCCTGTGCTAGGCTGGGCTGGGCCATCTGCTCCAGAAAACAGGGCTGGTCCCACCACTCTGCTCCCTATCCAGAGCTCCAGCAGAGACTTCAGGCACAGCAGAATCTGCCTTGCTTCCCCCTGCCTCATGCTTCCTCCCCCCCCCATTCACTGTTCAAGCAGGAATTCCCCCCTCCCTCCCATCTCCCACAGCATGGACCCCAGCATCATGCACCCTAGCCAGCTTGTGGTATGCTAACTAATGCTGAGAGGTATCTGTGTCTGTGTCTCCAATTTCACTGGGACAGGCAGACAGGACAGTGCCTTCTTAGGGCTTTTTGAAGCGAATTATCAGGTCAGGTGTTAATGTCCCTCTATTCCTTCCTTGGAAAACTGTTTAAGAAGAGCTTGAACTAATGAGAAGCTTTTGTTGTGTTGATAGGCTGATAAATACTGTGTTATCAACCCCCTGCTGGCTCCCTTGCCTGTCAGGTTTGCAGACAGTATGAAGAAGTAGGGAGAGGGAGATTGAAAAGCTCAGTATCATCAACAGAGGCATGCACTGCACACACACCCTTTGTCTCAGAGTGCTAGCCGGGGGCTGGGGGCTGGCAACACCTCCATCCCTTGAGCAGCGAGCAGGGAAAAGCCTGGTATGGTGCAAGCAGGGCCCCCCCCCCCGCCAATCAGAGCATCCTGCCTGGGTCTGGCTACTCCCATCTCCCCCCAGCTCAGGACTGTGGAAGGGAAGACTACTCTAGCACCCTCTGGCTTCTAGTCTGAGCCACTGCAGGCATGTGCCTGCATTTCTTCAGTCCAGAGGGAATGTCTATACAGTTGCAAACTGGTTCAACCTAGGCAGGTTAGACTAACCCACAAAGATTGCATCAATTCAGGGTCAGGCTTTTTGAATGTCTGTCCCAAGCCTATCAGATAAACTTCAATATCCAAGATGGAACATGGAAAAGTTAAGGCTTTCACTTTGGCTAGTTGCCAAATTGAAACATTGAAGCATACACTAGAAATCCAAAAGATCCTCGGTCCAGACTCCGTTAAAAGACACTGTAGAAATGTACCTCATCATCTGACACATCACAGCTATGTCAGAGTATTCTTAGTGAAAGACTGGTGATTCATTTAGTCCTAATAATCATGTCCTTAAGGAAGTTCTCCCCTCTCAAAAGGATGTCCTAGATAATCAAGTCTCAAAACTTACACAAACTTACCACGCACATTTCTGAAATTGCTAACTGCCAGAATATCCACTCTTGAGACGGTCCAAATTAGAAGGCAAATCTACAAAGTCCTGTCATGTCAACTAACTCTGACACCATCATTTCCTCATTTAAAAGATCATTTGAAAATAAGGTCAGTCAGCAGCAGCATTTTTCATTTTGATGAAAACAAGACAATTTTCTCATCATCAGTTATCATGCTTAGAATTAGAAATAAAAACTATATTATAAATAGCCTGGCTAACTTAGAAACAACAAGCCTATATCTACAGCTGGAAGTCATTTGAGACCAGATACCATCTGATCAAATCAGGATGGTTCTTCTATCATAATAAAAAGACCATCCTAGTTCTGCCAAGAGTATCAGTCCTCATTTTACAATACTGAAAATCTGGGAATCATTAGTCACTATACAGCTGATGATCTGCTAATGGAATGACACAAATCAGATTAAAGAACAGCATCTTGAGAGCACTTATGTGATTTTATTTGGCATAAATTAATCAAACAGGTAAGGAAAGTGAATATGCATGATGTTCTCTATATAAGCATAGATATGAGTCAAGGGCAGCTAGACCCTTGCTTGGAGAAATTTACATTACCTACACTTCAGAACCAAAACAAACTAACTTGCACTGCCCATGGCAATACTTGCAGGCAGTCTTTGCATAAATTATTCCTCAGCAACATCAGAGTCCAGTTTGGAACAAACTCAAAATCCTCCCTCCGAGCATCTCCCCTCCCCCCCTCTTTTTTTTTTTTTTTTTTTGGAGGGAGGATGGGGAGGGGGCGTTCATATTCTTCTTTGATGTTCATATTTTTCCATTTGCTTCTTCATATTCCTTCAGTATCTTGAACAGGAGATTGGGTAACAAATTCATATCAAGTCCTTTGGAAACCTTCATTAATATCCATCATCCCAGTCTCATACTACTTGATGGTACCTCTGTATTTTGGGTGCTGAACTAGTTTTTCCTTCTTGGCCATAATACATTTAATGACACATCAGGGACTTAAAATAATGGGAAAGACCAGAGAAAAATCCATCTCAAATGAAACAGGTCATCTTGCTAATTACAAACAGAAGGTAACTCAGGGAAGGATCTGGAACTGGAATACTGCTAACCCTATGCAATTAAAAAGAAAGCCCTCATGAGTCAGAAATTGAGGAGCGGTGCAAGTGTGGGTGTGTGTACTAGATCCTTAGATTTCCTTTCCAGTTTCTGAGCATCCAGGCTGCCCTTTATTGATATTTTCAAGCACTCTCTGAAGCTACCAGGCCTAGAAGATAGATGCTCATGACATTTCTTGATTTTTAGCCACTAGAATATTAAGAAAGACACGAAACATCAGGAACATAGCAATAAAATCATGAGAGTCGGCACCATTGAGGCAGAGAGTAAAGGCCCAGACTGCTTGACCTAACATAGTAATGTAAGTCTGGTCAGGTCTACAAGAGGAAAAAGAAAATACATTTACCATGCTCTGCAGCAATGTCCTCAGCTCTGTCTAGGCTGCCTCCTAAACTAGAAGCACTGTGCAGTCAGTGAATGAGCAAGCTAATTAACACTGCTGAATGACAGTGCCAGCTAGCCCACCCTTCTGCTAAATAGTCCATCAGCAGCCCTGCAGAGATGAGACTACATTTTTTTCTGGTTTAGGAGGCAGCCAGCCCAGGCCACATGCTGTGCTTGGGAGTACTGCTACCAGACTCTGCAAGTTTACCATTCACACATGGCCAGAGAGTCTGTAGATATTACAGACAGAAAAGGCCTGTCCTCTCCCTTAGTCAGCTCCCTTGCCCTGACACAGTTTTTTATTTCAATAGATCTTCTCAGCAAATTGTCAATTTAGATGTAAAGGTCTCCAAGGATTGTGTTTCCACTATATATTGTATTGAAAAGATATTTCAACTATCTAAGACATGGGAAATGATCCAATTAGGCTGATTTCATCTTTCCCCTCCCCATAAAATTATTTTGGGTAAAAAGCCCCAGGCATTTTGGTTTCAAAACATCCAATAAATTCCAATTTTTCCCTCTGCATCTTTATCTCATCACTGCATGTCTTTATAATCTCTCCTAATGAGAAGAGGGCACAGCTTTGTAAGGCAGCAGCACTATGGAACCAAACTGATTAGTGGCAGTGTTTCGTGTAATTAACATTTTAGTAACAGCTGCAGCTGGGAAAGAATTTGTTATTGAGCTTGGCAACTAGTGGGCTGCAGGTTGGTGTGCTCTAGAGCTGCATTTTATCTTTTATTTAATGCTGAATAATCACTGCATATAAAAATGTTTATTAGTTCTCAGACTGATGCTAATATAGTTTGCCATCGTAAAATGCTGATACGCACAACTTTTCTCTATTTACACACTCCCTGCTTTTTGACTGATTAACTGTATAATGCTTTTCTCTTTCAGTCTTAATGGAAAAAACTAGTGTGCTAAGAATCACATTATGAAAAGACGATGTCAGACATAATGCTGAAGTTCAGAACGGGGGCAACTCTACTCCAGATAATAGCTTCTTTCTTTTATAGCCGTTCATGCTGAGCAGGGGAGATATGCATTCCTTTCTCGTATTTGAAGTTTGCAAAGTGTCTATGATCTATCTTTGGTTATAAAAAAAAATCCCAGAAATAGGATTCCCAGGCTTACAAAATGAGCACCCCCTGAGGGCTGAGCTAAGAATCACAGAGAGTAGACAGTAAAGAGCACCTCATACAAGATGTTCAGTTGACCCAGGATGAGTTCTTAGCAGAATAACTAACACAGCATGATGCATAGGATGAAACAGTATCATAACCTGCTCACTTGAGGTTCAGCTGTAATATTTAGGCACAGTCTAAAGAGGCTTCAACATTTTCAATTCTGCCCTCAGTCCACCCCAGCCTGTTTGGACATCCTGGAGCTAAGTGGCCACCTCCCCACATCCTTTATGGTGATGTCTAATGTCCAGGAACTGCAATTATTGCTAGGATGCACCAGAAGAGGGAGAAATATTTATGGTATCCTACAATGCAAAAATCAACAAAAGGACCAGGAACAAGTGATTATAGGGGAGGGGAATGTCTAGTGCACATGACATTGCAACAGAAGCCTGTGTCTAATGCAATCAGCATTACTGTGGTATGCTACATCATCTGCAAAGATGTAGCTGAATATTTTTCCCCAGAGGAAGGCTCAGATTGCCACTGACTTTCAAACTTGGTCAGGCAACTGGAAAAGGCATTTGTCATCAATGGAGCTGAATCCAGACAAGGAAAGGAAATGAGACATCTTGTGCATCAATATCCTTGCATCACAGAGAATGAGAAGTGATGGGGGTGGTGGGGAATGTGATGCCATGCACTGTTGTAACTGTGTACCCATTATAGTTCATGAGGCAATTCGTAGTCCACCCATCCCCTGAACTGTACAATGGCTCCAATGGCTATAAGAAGATCAGGTACCCTAGAATCCACAGACTGTCAATGTGGCTGCGGCCTGATGGCTATCTGGGTCAGCAGCTGCTCACACTGGTCCTTCTGGCACTGCCCTGCCTCCTTATCCATTGAGGTTGGATGTACTGAAAAACTATGCTCTCTCTGCTTTCTCCTTCTCCATAACCTGCTCCACTGTCCCTATCTAGTAACCCAGATATTCATGCGATCTGTGTCCAAAGTCATACATTTAATATGTATACTGAAATATGATCATAAATGTCCTCAGACCTTTTGCCTGCTAGTCCAGGGTTCTCCTGCAAAGGTCCTGGTAAGGAAATTAAAGGAAATATTTTGTTAATGGGAAAAAAACAAAAAAAGAGTATTCCTCCTGTTATATTTTGTATTACAGCTAAGCCACAGGTTCACATCTCAGTCAACTTGGTTGGAATTTATTTCATCTCTACATATCAGCCTGTTCAGAAGCTGCTGCTAGCTATGTTACCAGATCACAGAGTCAGTCTAGTCAGCTTTAATTCGTTAAATATATAGAATATAGGAATGTCTAGAAAAGGTGAATTTTTCATTTAATACAGCTTCTGGGATTTATAATCCAAGTTGTCTGGCTGGTTTTAATGCTAGCAAGGGCCTAACAAACAGTCTAGAGTATGACAGTTATAAGAAAACAGTATACACTTAAATATGCACTCATGTTCACTTAGTTTTAATCTCTGCTTTGATTTTTTTTCAAATTCAATCAATTATTTTTTCCCAATGCTTGAAAACAATTTCCAATATACAAGTGGATGGAACGTGCAAGAATGAGGGGCAGGGCAATGGCTGTGACTCAGCTACAACTAAAGGACATTCCCCATGACAGGTAACAGTCGCATAAAATGATTTTATTGGTTCATAAAATGGACCGCGATTAGAAGCTTAGTGAGCCTGCTGCCTCTTGTAGCCTGGCTTTGACCCAAAGGCTCTACAGCCAGTCCTTTTAAATGCAAATACAGTTCTTGCTTACACACACACAAATAAAAACTGATAGCCCTTCCACAGGCACTGGGAGAGGCCCATTTTTCTCTGGCCCCTTCCTGGGGTCAAGCTTCTCTGGCTTTCAGGGCTATCTTTCCACCGTAGTTCTCACTCCCTGCCATTTCTATGGTGGGGGTTTTAACTACCTGCCGGTACTCCTTAAGTAGCTAACCACCCACAGCTAGGCCTCTACCACAGGCTGTCTACACCCTCTTAAAAGACCACACTGACCTACTTACATATCTCCTCCCACATGAGTGGAGTCTGAGACCCACTCTTCCACATCTAGTCCCCCTCTCACCCTGGAGCATACATGTTAAAGCCCTGAAGACTGCCCTGGAACATACATGTTAAAGCAATGTAAGACATCAAATAAATAGGGCTGCAATGCCAGGTACTGACATGTTAGCCTTGCACTGGCTTCCTTCATTGCATTACCCACATCAGAAGGGGCATGGTTGATGACCACAGTAAAGTTGGCCCCAAGGAGACAGCAGAGGAGGGCCTCGACTGCCTGTTTAATAGTGGCTCATTCTTTTTTGATAACAAAATAAGTTTGCTCCCAAGAAAAGAGCTTACAGCTCAAGTACAGGAACCGGTGCTCCCCATCCTTAAAGTCCTGGGAAAGAACAGCCCCTAGACCTCATTTAAGGCATTTGTTTGCAAAATGAACTTCTGGCTAAAGTCTAGACTGAGTAATAGTGGGGTGGTACATTGCATTCAGTTTCTCTCTCCAAAAACCCTGGCGCACACTGGCAACAACTGTGCTGTGCTGGGCGCTGTCTTGCATGGCTTGACATGTTAACAGGACTGTGATCACCAAGAATTATGGGATCATAATCATCAATAGTAGCTGAATAACCTCAGGAAGGACTTTGCTCATCTTTTAGTTTTAAGTATAGGAAATTCCACCAATGTTTTTTATCTTTTCTATGAGGGATCTTATCTCCCCATTCCTGAGGGCATACCTCAAAAAACAGTTATGCTGACAACCAAGTTGGCATTTCATGGGGTTTGCCATCAGGCCTGCGGCCCAAAGGGATTGTAGCATGGCCCTGATTCAAGGAAGAACATGTTCCTTCCAAGTGCCAGTGAACACCACTATATCATCAAGATAGGCTACTGCATACTCTTGGTGTGGTCACAGAACCCTATCCATGGATCCTGAAAAGTGACAAGGGTGCCATTGAGACCAAAAGGGAAGGTCCTGAATTGATAGAGCCCCTGAGGTGTTGTAAATGTGGTTACTTCACAGGATTCTGGAGCAAGGGGAATCTGCAAATACCCCTTCATCAGATCTAATGTGAATATGTACTTGGCTTTCCCTAATCATCCTATCAATTTACTGCTTCAAGGCATCAAATATATATCAAATGCTGACACTGCATTTAACTGTTGAAAGTCATGCAGAACCAGATTGTTTTGTCTGGCTTAAGGACTAGTACAACTAGGATGCACCACTCACCTGACAATACTGTACTTCAGTCACTCCCATATCCAATATATTTTGCACTTCCCTTTTGATTGTGTTCAGCAGTCATTTGGGTATCCAGAAGAGCCCCTTTTAGATGGGACAACCAGGTTTTAGGATAATCCAATGATTAATTAAGGTGGTTCTCCCTGGTTTAGTCATAAATACATCTTGAAATGCATCCCTAGCATCCTTCTGTTGGGATAGGATTAAGTTATCTCACTGGGTGGGAGCCAAAATGGATTTCCCACACTTACTGTGCTCACCAGAAAAGTAGTTCCAGTGCTTCCGAGGCCTGCTAAGGTTTCAGGAGGTCAGCATGGTATCGCTGTGACCAATGTCATCTTCCCACAAGCCACACTTCATAGTCCATGTCCCCAACTTTCATTAGGACCTCCTATGACCCCTGCCACTTAGCAAGTAATTTGCTCTTTGCCAAAAGGTGCAACAGCAGGACCAAATCCCCAAGCTGACAGAGCTGGAGCCATGCATTCTTGTTGTAGTGGTGTTTCTGCACTTGCTGCACAGCTATAAGGATTTCCCTAGTGAAGCTCCCCACTAAATCGAGTCACTCCCACAGCCTCAGAATGTGTTGGAAGACATTCTGGGC